ATATATATATATATATATATATATATATATTGAAGAGTCTCTATAAAAGATTTGTGGTATATACATCTTCTATTGAGTTATGTCTATAATTTTATTATTAAAATGCATATGCATATATATAAGTTAAAATATGTAAATTTAATAGATACATATATATACAATTAGGGTTCGGCATGGCGGGTTTTATGGGTCAACCAAACCACTTTCGACTCATTTTTCATGACTGGTAAGTGGTAACTGATAATTAACCGACCCTTACAATTGAACCGATAGTTTTAATCGACCCATATATAAATAGGTCGATCGGTGGTTTTCATTTTACTTAAAAGTTAGTTGGTCGGCTAATATCGATAAACCGTTATAAATATTTAATTATAATTCTTATTTTCTTAATGTTAAATAATATATAAAATAAATCAAAACTCAAAAACTCAAATTTATAAATCTCAACATATTATTTCTATTTTATAATTCTTATTTCATATATATATATATATATATATATATATATATATATATATATATATATATATATATATATATATATATACTTATCATAGAAGTTTAATTTTAAAGTTATAATTTTTTTAACACATGTTTCCCAAAATTTTGAATATCTTCTAAAAAAAACTTTTAACATCTTACTATTGCAAAAAAAAGTTAAATAAAAAATCAATAAGAAGATGACTGATAATACCAACCAACCGATCCATTGTTTATCCGATAAAGTCAGTTGTCAACCATTATTCAAACACATGATGATAGAGCCGGTAATCATGTAGTATTACTCATATTTTATATAACATTAGCTTTATCTCTTAATATTTTATAATATTAAGATTTTATAATCCAAATAAATAGACTAAGATTTAACAAATTGAATTTCTAGCTTTATCTCTTAATAATTGTTGAAAATTATAATTAAAAAATTAGTACAAAAAAAAATATTGAAAATAAATAATTACATAAGTACCAATAAGGTAGGATTCTTCACGGATTAGTTTTAATTTTGATAATTGTTAAAAATTATAATTATAAATTAGTAGAGAAAAAATATTAAAAATAAATAATTACAAAAATACCATTATGGTTTTTTAGGGTTGCCCAACATTTCTTTCTTTTATATATAAGATATGTATATGTATGATATATATATACTCCCATAT